TGGTGTTGACCCCTTTCCCTATCATCTCCTCTCCTCTCCTCTCCCAATTAATATAAATAAATATCAACAATAATTTGCAGCAGCTAAGTGACAAAATTTTAAAAACTGTTTAATCCCAATTTTCCAACAAAAACAAAAATGTTTAGCAATTTTTGAACCATTTTGTAAGTTCAATAATCACACTCAGAATGGACACCAAACCGGCACATTAATCTATGCCATTAAAAAAATTAATTGCAACACTATTGGTATGGAAAAACATTTAAAAAGATCTCGCAATTTCATTTTTCGTTTTGTTGACCTTTGGATATTATTATATATATTATGACCTTTGGATATTATTATATATATATTATATTAAGATTGTAGATCTGCAATCCTTATCATCTACATTGGACAAATATTTTATAATACGGGTTATTCCTTAGGTCAAATAAAATAGCCTTAAATTGAATAAAACCCTCAATTTTGGCGCAATGATGAGCAAAATCCAAAAGTAATTCACATAATTTAAGATGAAAAATTATTGTTGAGAGACTACAAAATGCAGTATGAATTATTTGATTTGAATTAGATTTTCATTCTTTCAAATAAAAATTTTTCAAATAAAAACAATCACTATGAAACAAATATCTTGAAAAGGGAAAAATTAGGAGTTGCAATTATGAAACACTACTGAAAACATGAATACGTTTAATTTGTTAAATCCCTTTAGCACTGGAAAACCAAGTGTTAAATACTGAAAACAAATGACTTTGTTAAATCCCTTCAATTCTGTAACACTAACATCACAACTCATTATGTAACACGACAGAGGGAGAGAGAGAGATACCAAATTTCATAAAATTCTTTTTTTTTTTTTCATGATAATTTTCTATTATTTAAAATATTACAACAATACAACATGGGCAAAAAAAGTATTGCCTCTTCTTTAAATTTTGTACCAAATAATTACTCCTAGCAAAGCAAAAGCCATCAACGGTCAGGAAATTAAAGAAAATTACAGCCTCAGATCAGATGACTCCTAATTCTTTTGACTTTTTACTATTTGACTACTTCTTCATTTTCTTTTTCCTTTTTACTAATCTCCCAGCCAATTGAACTACAGACTTTTAAGAAAAATACAGTAGACAACAATTGTGAGAAAATGAATGGCTGGACCACCCTCCTTTACTGCCTTCTTTTCTTTTTCTTTNATAAGACTATCTTTGGAAACATAAATGATATGCAGCATTAGATCTCAAGAATAAATTGGTTGTCCAATTTGTGTTTTATTATTACCTTCATTAAGGTGTGGTTAAGAGGCCCGACAAGATTTTGTAGGGCTACATGCCAATGGTTTCATGACCAGAAGCAAAGCTGTAATTCATAAAAGTCAAGCAAGAATTTTTTGTTAGGATCATCCAATTAATCATTCCTAATTAAGGCCAACAACCTCTAAAGACATTAAAATCTTTTAAGCTCAAGGTTTTTTTACCTAGGCACTTGGAAGTGGCAAGATTTGAAAGGAGCCAATGATGGGCCCGTGATTAAATTATTGTTAGTGGATTTGACCGAAATGCCCTTCTCTGCTTCTAAAGCTTCGTTAGAGAAGGCAGTGGCATAATCCCCGGAGGCCTTAGGAGAAGCAAAGGGGCTATCCGGAAGGTTGTGTTCCGAGCTGAGTTCAGTAAAAATATCGATAAAAAAATCGAGTAGTTGGTAGTTAAATATTTATGGATCACATTTTTAAATTTTTATAATTACCTTTCATGGAAGTCATTTTCTTTTGGGTGACTTTCCTTGCCATTGATGTTCTTCTCGTCAGCTTTGGGAGAATGATCTTTGTCTTTCTCGACCACATTAGCTTCGTTCGCCATAGTTTGAATCGAGCCATTTTCTGAAAGTAAACAAAATCACATAGTATCACTAAATAAAGTTTGAAAATTTATGAAAGCCCTGCTCGATTTTTCCCGTCCTCTATTGCAATTGAATAATTTGTTTCCATAATTAGGAAGAAAAAAATAAAATGCAATCTAACCCCAAAGGGGGTTTTCTTTGTAATTTTAGAGTTTCTTTGGGTCTTTTATATTTACTGATTTAGCAATAATTATTTGTGTAACCAAATGTCAATTGGGACCAGAAAATCTTGAAAGGAAAGAAATGATACCTTCTTTAGCTTCTGGGCTGCCATTATTGCTAGGTATGAGGAGATTTTGATTGAAAAAAGTAGGTGAAAATGTTGTTGGAGATGAAATAACGGCACCCGTAGAAAGAGTTCGGTTATGACTATTTCTCTTGACATCTAAAAGCTTAAGACCCATTAGCCTTCGGTTTTGGAGCTCAATCGCTTGCTGCAATTCGGCTTGCTCTTCCAATTTTTTCCTCCATAACAACATGTCTGGATTGTTGTAAAACATTCTTGCACCTAATGCAAAGTAAAATTAGATTTTTGAAAGCATATTACGACTTTTACTTAATTCTTTTTTTCAAGGTCGAATTTTGTGTTATCTTACCGAGTTGAAGATCAAAAGGATCTCTAGACTCTAAACCTGTGGGGCTGCCACACCCAATAAAATCCCCTCTTTCCATCTGCTGTTGTTTTCTGTTAAGTAATTAAGTGGATACATTACTTTTTAAGTTTAGGGGGAACAAAAAGAACTTGGAAAAGAGAAATAAAGAGTACAAAATAAAAATTGATTAGCAATTTAGCATACATATATAACCTGTGCTTATCTGGGATTTTCCCTTTCTCCTTGTACGGCTTCACAAGAACACGAGCATCGCACACGAAATGCGGGTTGCCCTTTGCAAGAATGAGCTTTACAGTCTCGGGAAAATCGAACGTTACAAAACCGAACATCCTCTTCTGCTGATATGGGATCCTCACATCTTGAACTGGCCCAAAGTTACTATAAAGATGAAGAGCAAGGTTTATTTTTTCAAATTTCAACCCATCATATATTTCAAAAGTTTGAAATTAACCTACATTTCGAAAGACAAAGAAAATTCACCTAAAGTAATTAGACACATCTTCTTCTTTAAAGGTACTGTCAGCTGGAAAGGTCAAGTAAATCTGCCTTGAACCGGGATTCATACAGTTTATTCCGAAATCGCCCCTTGGAACGAATTTATTATGCATTCCATCTCCCATCATCAAACCTCTAAACAGATACCAACAGATAAACTTCATTGAATCAAATTATATTCAGAAAGAAACTAAATATAAGTTCAAAATTCTAACAGTTCAGTAGATTGAAAAAGAAAAAGTAAAATAAATTAAAAAAATAACCTTGGGCTGTCAGGTGGAAATTGAAGATAATTCATGCATTTATTTGCTGCCACTGAAGAAGAGAAGGGGAAACTATTTGAACCCGCCGTAAGCAGCTGCTGATGAGTTGACTTCGACCTAAGCAGCTCCGAACACTGCTGCTGCTGCTCCATCATCTCGAACTTATTGGGCGGCCCCACCGCACAACCGCCGTCCGCCGCCGCCTCGCCGCCGTGGAGGAACCGGCAGGTGGTCCCGTTCTTGCAGTAACCCCTGGCGTAGAATAGACATGGCCTCCACCCAAACCCCCCACTCAAATCATCAGACCCAAGGCAGATATCGCTCACCGAGCAGCTCCGGCGGTGGTGGTGGTGCAGCCCTGAGGCGCCGCCCCACGCGGCGGCAGCCGCAGCGGCGAGAAGGGGCTCTCCGGCGGTCGGGCTCGACGCCGGATCGAAAAAATCGGCACTTTTCGCCGGGCCCAGCTGGGGCGAGCCATCGTTGAGGAAAGAGAGCTGTTCTTGAAGCTGGAGCTCGTCGATTAAGTCGGCTTCGCCATTGAAAGCAGATGTGGGGCTGATTAAGTCGTCGGAGGTCTGAAAATCGGAAAAGCTGCTGGTTTTGGAGTTCGCCCAGGAAGAGGAAATCGCGGTCGAGGACTGGTTGCCGGCCATGCTTAGCGGAGAAGGGATTCTGGAGGAAGAAGACGAGGAGCTCTGTCGGGAGAGAGAGAAATTAGGGTTTCCGAAGGGTGAATTTGGGGATGAAGGGGTGGAGGGCGTGTTTGGGGAGGCTAAGTTGAGGTCTTTCCTGGTTTTGAGAATGACGGAGTGGACTAAGGATTCAGAGCCGAAAGCCAAACGGATCATTTCCTTCTCGCCGTGGTCTTGAATGAGGAGAAAGCCCATGATTTTAGAAGCGTTATGAGGGTCCAAATTCTGGATCCTCTGGAAAACAATCTTTGTGGCTTCATATGCATCCATGGTTTTTTTTTTTGGGTTGATTTTTCTTGTTCACGTTTAAGTGGGTTTTTTGTGAGTAAAAGATGTGCAGAAAAAGCAAAAGGGAAACANGGATTAAAGAAATGAAAAATATACTTTAAAAAAAAATAAGTTTGAAGAAAAGGAGAGTTGCCCGTGAGGGAAAGGTGAAAGATAAAGGGGAAAAATAATGTTGAAAAGGTCCTTGTGTGCTTAAGTAAAAAACACAAGGTGGTTGAATTTCTGTATTAAGAAGTATGATATAGACCGTATAAAGTTTGCAGAATCAACTACAACAAGCAACAAAAATGACCTTGATAAAACACACACACACACACACATTCAACTTTCTACAATGACATAAAAAGGCTGGATTGTTTATAGCTAATAAGCTTCGAAAACTACTGCTTACGCAAGAAAGATCTCTGACCAGTGAGGAGGAAGAAGAAGAAGAAGAAGATAATAAAACTCGAGCACATAATAACTTCTACTAATCTCTTTTTTCTTTGTTTTAGCTCTAAAAGCTTATAGCAATGGAAGTTATACTACAAATGCCAAAACAGCACCATCTTTCTATGGCGCTGCAGAATTCAGCAGCAGTTTTTTTGAGAGCAACAGCAAAAATGGCAGAGAGAAGGGACCATTTTAATTCAATTGCTGAGCCACTAGCAGCTGCATCACACTGAACCCCACCTTTTTTTTAAAAAATTGTTTTTTTTTACCTTCTATTTTAATGGGCTTGCTGTCAAAAATTAATTTAAAAAAAAAAAATGGTTAAGAGGTGGGACAGTGAAGTTGATGAAAGCTGTCTTCTCTGTGTATGTGCCTGTGGCTGTGAGATTATTATTCTGACAGTCTTCCTTTCCACTAACTCTCATCTTGATCCCACACACACACACACACACTTTAATTGTTAAATTTATTGTGGGCTTCAATTTATGTTTCTAGCTTGCAAGGATGGGTTTTCATTGTTCATTAGAAGCTTAATATCAAATTATAAAACAAACAGAATTAAATGCAAAGATAGGCTACGGTTAAGGTTTATTGGAGTGCTCATGTTCGAATTCATGCTAGTTTATTACCCAAGGCTGCTGGTCTAATAAATTTAAAATTTTAAACGAGTTATATATATGTATGGCATAACGGTATAATTTAAAATTCATAAAATAAAATAAATAATAATAATAATAATATATAAATAAAAGTGAGTTGTTCGTAAACAAGCTTGCGTCGACAAGCTTAATAAACGAGCTTGATTGGTTGTTTAAGTTTAACCGACTTTCACGAGCTAAATAAGTTGTGTTCATAATGGACCAATCTTTGTTGCTATAATTAGCATCACTGGGCAAGAAAATATTTTCATCTATATTTAGCATGTAATTAACCTATCGAATGAACATTAATTATTTTTTGTTTAGTCAATGGCTAATATTATTGGATAAAATTTTTTTAAATGGATTTTGGCTGATTATATATATTTTCAATAAAATCATCATATTAATTATAATATCCGTGCTATACCATTTGAATATTTGAATATCCGTGCGAATTTTAATTGGAGTATTTTACCAACTATGGATTTTTTTTTTCAACTAATTAAAAATCAGTGAATTCAAATTAGAGCTTAGTCAGGTAAATGTATACACACTACAGAACTTATGTACTGTGCCATTCCACTTGATTGTCAATCTTTACATGTATATGTATATGATCTTGTGTATGCCTTTATCATCACTCTCTTTAGATTTTATAATACTGCCACTGCATATATTATGGTCTCTCCCATTCTCATGAAACATAGCTGCATATGGGTCTCCAACTCATACTTGTTAAAATAAATGTTATTATTGTGTTGATGATTAACATAATTAGTATAATATTCAAAAAACACATCAAAAGTGGACAGGCAAAGGCAGTTGGTAGTCTTTGTATAATGCAATACTAAAAAAAAAAAGGGGTGTTGATTAAAAAAAGGTTATTGTTTTTCTATATCTTGTCATTTTGCCTTTGTAACATGCCCCCACATGGGCCATAAATTAAACAAATTAAAATGATTGTTGAATAACTTTCTTGCAAAAGAATATAAAGAAATTATCAAAAGATAAAGTACCCTCATCAATTCCTTTATATATAACATATATAATAATTACTTCCACCAAAAAAA